AGGTCAGTTACCTTGACCAGCCTGAAGGCGCAGTTAGAGGACGTTTGCTTGCTCCCGAGGCTGGCAGCATATAAATACATGAATATTAACATACCACACGCAAAAATGCAAACACTGTGTGTTGTGTTTGCAAGGATAGGACCTGGCGTTCAGTGTGGCTTTCTTGTGTTTTTGTTTCCTCCTAGACTTCCTAAGGCAGGGCTTGCACACAATCCCCAGGTCTCAGGACAGTTTAGGACATGACTCCAAATCCAGATTAACTAAGAATCCAGATTACCACCCCCCACCCCCCCCATATGATTTGAGCCAAAGACTAGGTCCAGCACATCACCCCCCCAGCTATTGCATTTGGTGGTAGTGCCAAAGCCTGTGTTTCCAATAGGTTTTGTCTTGGGAAGTTAGTTTCATAGGAATGATGCTCCAGACCCTTGCTCATTCTGATAGCCCTTTGCTGGACTTGCTCCAGGAGTTCCATGTCTCTCTTGTACTGGGGAGCCCAGAACTGGACACAGTACTCCAGGGGACTATAGGCACCTCCTGCAGTTGCCTTTGCTGAATTTTGAAAGGTTCTTCTTTGCTCATCTTCCCAGCCTCTCTAGATCCTTCTGGATGGCAGCACAGCACTCTGGGGTATCAGCCACGCCTCCCAGTTTCATTTCATCATCAGACTCGCTGAGGAGAATCTCTAAGGATGCTGGAGAGGGACTCTTCACTAGGGACTGTAGTGACAGGACAAGGGGTAATGGGTTAAAACTGAAACAGGGGAAGTTTAGATTGGATATAAGGAAGGCGTTCTTTACTGTAAGGGTGGTGAGGCACTGGAATGGGTTGCCCAGGGAAGCTGTGAGTGCTCCATCCCTGGCAGTGTTCAAGGCCAGGTTGGACAGAGCCTTGGGCGACATGGTTTAGTGTGAGGCATCCCTGCCCATGGCAGGGGGGTTGGAACTGGATGATCTTAAGGTCCTTTCCAGCTCTAACTATTCCATGATTCTATGATTCTAAGTCTTTGATGAATAAGTTAAACAAGACTGGACCCAGTATTGACCCCTGGGGGACACTGCTAGCTGCAGGTCTCCAACCAGACTCTGCACCACTGATCGCAACCCTCTGAGACCTCCCATTCAGCCAGTTCTCAATCCCTGTCACTGTCTGCTTGTGCAGCCCACACTCTCTGGGCTTGCCTATGAGGATGTTATGGAAACCATGTGGTGTCTTGGTTTGGGGTCAGGACCAGGGCCTCAGAGATTGCTGCCTATTTTGGTTTTATATTCCTGAAACAAGGAAGTGCAGGAAGTACCCCACCTGCAATGGGCTTTGGGGAGACTACAGGAAAGGAGTATCCATGTGGCAAGAGACTGGCTGGTTTTGCTCCATGGCATCTTCTGTGATGCCTTCCATTTGATATCTGTGGGCTGGATGACAGCAGAGGTTAGAGGAGGTTGTCTCCAGTACCTTACGTTCTGGCTGGGAAGTGATTAAAGGAGTCCTGGGGAAATGGAAAAAGGTATGTGGAGCACAGTGTGATTTCCTGTCTTTCCCTGTCATTCGTGAGTTTGATGCAGGTTTCAAAGACAGTGGGCAATAAGTGCATAATGCATTTTTATATATCTTTTTGTATTTTTATGTATCTCAGACTATGTTAAATTATGACAAAAGTAAAATAAGAAGCACACAGAGCAAGTCCTACAAACAACTGTTAAGTTAAGAAAGCATAGATCCTTTCAATTCTGGATCTCTTAGGTGCAGGTAATACATAACGGGAGAAGAAGAAAGTCCCTGGTAATAATTGCACAGTTTGCATTGAAGCTTATGATCAGTAAAGGCAAGAATTCTTACCGTAACATGCAGAGCAACATCTATTCTCATAAAAACCCACCCCAACTGTGTGCCTTTTAAACATTTCTTTTTACTCCGTGTGTTTAATACTTAAAGTATTGCTCTTCACCTTAATTGTTTGGCAAAAGTTATACTGTAAAAGCAAATCCCTCTCTTGCACTTAGAGAGTGCCATGACATTGTCATGCTGCCAAGAAACCCCTGCAAGATGCTGACAAGAGCACCCTCCCTGAAGCACAGTTTGTGAGCATTTCATAAACCTCTCCACACAGAGCATCCCTCAGGGACAGGGGATTATTTTATTCCTACTTCTTTACACCTGGAGAGCTGAAGTGCAGGAAAAGCCCCAGATCCCCTATGATGCTCAGATGCATAAATCCCACGGGTTCTAAGTTCATCCCACCTTGACAGGAGGGTTACATGCCTTTAAAAGTCAGTTCTCAGCCACCACTTTGTTGCTTTCCCTTCCATCTCTCTGTATCCCTAAAGCTGGCTTGCTCCCAAAGTGCAGAGCTGCTTCTCCAGCAGTGCAAAAGATGTCAGTGCCAATGATGTGAACATGTGGCACCATTTGGATCTAGTGTTTCTTTGGGTTTGTTTTTGAAAGAAACTGGGCCCTAGCATGTGCACCATGTGTTCATTAGCATGGGAGAAAGACAAGTGTGATGAGCTACTCTCACCAAGAGCACAGTAGGACTCTCAGCACCTCCAGAGCTATCAGAACTGGCATCTCTGTGATATGCTGGATGGACAAGGCAGGGACAGTTGGGTGTTTTCCAGGACCAGCTTCATCTCTGTCTGCCTGTGAAGGTGCCAGTGGTGAGACTGCAATAATATGTATAGATCACCATTAGCAAAGGAAAATCAGGACCTTCAAACTCGTTGCATGCGTGGAAGTTAGTGCCTGGCTGCTGGTGCTCTTTGCTGTTGTGTGCTGGTTCTCACTTATAGAATGGGGAAATAGAGCTGTTGGCATCTCAGGAGGTGCCTGATGCATTGCAAGATGAGGTTCTGGAAATAGGGAATCTATATTATATCTCAGTGACTGTAACCTGCACTCTCTGCTCCACTAACCGGATTTATTGTAAGGCTGCATCAAACAAATGGAGTCATAAGCTGCACTGTCCCCAGGGCGACTGGATGAATTAAAATATCCAAGACAATGACAAATGCTGCCAGAGGGTGTTGATATGGGGCTGCTGGACCTGTGATCTCTGGCAGAGCCCAAGAAACAGTCTTGTCGCAGGGAAGCTCCAGAGTTTATCGTTCTCAGCAACAACAGGGAATTGGCTTCCTGTTTCCTCTCCTTTGCTGTCAAAGGGGCAGCCAGGCTCTGCGATAAAGCGTGCTGACTCTTCACACTTTTGAGAGTGAAAAGTTTCTTATCTTCAACTTTAGCTTTCACAGGTCTCATCACCTCCTTCCCTCCACTGCTCCAAAACTCAGCTAAATCAAATATAGATCAAAACAGGCAGCAAAATATTGTGGGCCCTATGCAGCTCCTGCTGAAGTCAGCAGTGATGTTCCAAGATGATCCTTGTCCTCAGGCCCAGGGTTATATGTTTTGGCTGCGTATTGTTATAATCTGCGTGCATCCATGCACATGTATTTTATGTTAGCATTTGCTTCTACACTTACTTAGGAGAGGTTAGGGCCTGTTTGTCTGTAGGCAGCAGATATGTGTCTGTGTGCTGCCAACATATGTTTCAACTGGCCTAAGTGCAGGACTGAGTGTCTTTGTGAAGGGTGCATCCCCAGATGTATATGTAAAAGCTACTCTGCTTTTGTGTAAGCTGTAACGGAGACCTTTGATTTACAAGCCATTCTCTCTTGGTGGCTCTTTGGTTAGGATATCTGTGTGATGCAACATCTGAAATAGGTGGTGGATTGCTGCCTGCTGAGCTGCAAGGTAACAGCTCTGCCTGTAACCCTGTCAGGTACAAACTCCTTCTATGATGCCATTGTATTTTACAGGTGGGCAGCCATCCGAGGGGAAGCTTTAATTTGAGAGAGTCTGTACTTAGCAGCAGCAGCAGCCCAGAGCCCTGCCATGTCCTTTCCATCGACCCCTTTTGTTCCTTTCTAAAATGAGCACTGTCAGGAGGTCCTTCACAGGGGAGAAGTCACGGAGGGTAACAGTCTATCTGCTTGCAGTAGCAATGGCCAGCCCAGATCCTGGCCTTGTGCTGACAGCCTGGCAAATGATCCCAACCCAGAAACAGAACGAAGGACAGTGTTTTTTTGGCAATGCCATCCTCAGGCACTCAGGTCCCATGGGGGAACTGTGACCCTGGGGAAGGCCAAGAGCCACCTCTGCTTGCGGGAGGAACAGAGTTTCCACATGGGTCTTGGTGCTTGGGGAATGACTCGGAATCAGAAGAAGGTGAGCAGTGCATCTGTTCATACCCAGAAATCCATCCATTGCACCTGTATCAGCTGTACCACATGCTGCTGCATGCTCATACACTGAAATAATACAGCCCCATCTCCAGCAACCCCTTTCACACCTGGTGTGCACCTTCCCTCTCCCCAGCCCCATCCTCCCCTATTTGAGTCTTTCTGTCTCCAAAGAAATCACTAAGGGAGAGATGCATTTCTTCTCAGCATCATGCTGACCCCCTTTCTCCTCACTCCAAGCCCTGAAATTAATTAAATGATGTCACGCTTGATTTTATCTGATTTGGAAGCAATTCATCACCCTTTTGCTGGTTCTATTAGTCCAGGCGATCAGCACATTAATTCATTTGCGAGACTAAGCTCAAGGGTAATTACAGTGAGGAAGCTTAATGCCTAAACGTGTTAATGCCTGTAATCAGAACTATTTTCTCAGTGCCGAACAATTGTTAGACAATTACACTTGGATATGATTGCCCTAGTAGGCAACAGACGCTGTGTCAAGAGGGGAATAGCAGAAGCTTGTTTTGCAAGTAGTGTATTATCAGCAAATTTGACTCTTTGCAATCTCTGTTCTTCTGGATTCTGTACAACTCATCCCTTCCGTAGGTTTTGCACTGTTAAGGAAGTTGAAGAGTCACCCCTTGCTCTTTTTCAGGCTGGGTTGTGTGGGAACAAGAGGACTGAGTTGTCAGTGCCCCTGTCTAACCAGAAAGCTTCCAATTTTACGTCAAGTGTCCTAAATCTGTCTTTTATTTCCTTCATGTTTAGGTCCAGAAAGAAGTGAGGAAGCTTACAGCATGGATGGTACACAGCGGTGATGTCTGCTGACACACAGTCATGTGGGGTGAACAAGCACACTGCAGACTGCGTGGATGCCGTGTTGCAAAGGGGCTTTGAGGAAGGGTGTAGCTCTGGCTCCTTCCTTCACAGGAAGGGCAGTGGTAGAAACCAGTGTTGTGCATCCATAGAGAGGCTGTTGCCTCCATGCAGCAGGAATAGGATGGAGCACGGTTAGGGGTAAGGGTCAGGAGTGTAGCAGTGGGGACAATAACACAAGGAGGAGCAGTCATGCCCACAGCATGGACCAAGGGAAGATGGGGACAGCCCAGCATTTGCTGGTTCAGGGCAGCTGAGTCTTATGGGACTGCTGATCCCTGACCACCTTATCCCTTCCTCTAGGTGGCGTATGGCATTTGAAGGCAGGCTTTGTTCAGCCTCTTGCCTCCAGATAGAGAAGCCCTCTGAAAGTGAGGATGAATTTGCTGCAGTCTCTGTGAGCTAGATGGTGTGACAGGGAAGAGGGAAAGCCAAGAACCCTGCAAAGTCATTTCCCTTCTCCCTGGGTGGCCATAGAGATTTCCATTGTTGCTGAGTGAGTCCAGGCCCTTGTGCTTTTCAGCCAGGGAGAGATTTTATTCCAGCTCAACCTGGAGGTCCTCCAATGCACAAGGCACTGTACCTTGCAGAAATTCTCATTTGGGGTAATGTCCCATACACCGCTGGGCTTGAGAAATGCATTTCTTGGTAGCTGAAGAAAAGCCTCTGGCTGTGCTGCATTGGTAGTGTCCTCAGAGGCCCCTGTGGTAGTCCTTAGCAGCAATCCCAGCCTCCCGCCACAAATGAGGCAGGAGAAGAAATGAGTTTTACAACGATGTGTTTGGCAGGCACAGTGAAGCTTGTGCCAGTGACAACCACAAGAAGAGGTGTGTGCTCGGATGGTTTCAGAAGGCTGTCTGCACTCAGAGGAAGGTAAGAATAAATCTAGTTTCTGTTGTCATTAGTGGTACGGATGAAGAGCAAATGGTTTCTTTTCCTCAAGACAGCAATCTTCTCTGGTCTCCAGCTGGACTTGCAAAGGGGCTGTGGCTGTGAGCTCCTCCTGCCTCCAGTGGTATTAGCACCTCCATGCTTACTCCAAAACCTAGGCTACCACCAAACCCTGCTGGGGTGCCCTAAACAGGTGTAAGACCTCTCTTAAACAGCAGAAGAGCAGGGAGGCTCTGCAGATGGGAAAGACAACATGATCAGGGCAGTTGTGAACCAGGTGGTGTCCCAGCCACTGACTTGCTTCAGTGTGAACCTTTGCCTGTTCAGGCTTGTTCCCACTCAGACTTGGGGTTCATTCAGTTGGGAGCTTCCCAGGAGGGAAAACCAGCATGTGTCAAAGGTTTCACACAGCAGAGAGCAGGTGAGAAACCTGCCCAAGGGGATATGAAAGCTGCTTCTGCCAAGGGGAGCAGATAGGGCTGAGGCGCGGCACAGGGACAAGACAGGCACATTTCTCCTGGTGACGCAGCCCAGAGCATGGTGGTGGCTGGGTTTGCTCTCTGTCATCCCAGGGCAATCTTGTGGGATCTCACTGCAGCTTTGCAGCAGTGTGGCGTGCAGGTGGATTTTGAGAGAACGGTGTGAAACGGGCAAGATACCTGCACTGCTGAATGAGTTAAAACATCATTCAATTCAGGGCAATCTCCCATTTGTTCTCATCCAGCTATCAGGTCTGACAACAGGGACTCTAAGCTCAATAGGATGTGTCATGGTTTAACCATTCCTGAATTCTCAACACTTTCCAGCAGAGATACAGAACAGCCCCATACTATCTACTGTGAAGAAAATTAACTCTACCCAGGACAAAACCAGCACAGGATGTCATGTGCAGAGGTCTGCATTTTGGTTTCCCTGTCTTTGTTTCTTTGTTTCTTCCCCTTTATGCAGGAACACCTTCTTAGCAGTGTAGAAACCCCATTTCTCACCCTTTCATGTTCTCCTGGCAGGTCTTTGAACGTTAATGCTGTCACCAGCTTCTGCGAGTTGATCTGTGTTGGTTTGATGAGTGACGTAGGACTTGAGTGACATTCCCCTGCCTCCTCCTCTTCGGTGCAGACTGTAAGCAAAGCCCCAGGCTGCAGTGGTATTGTGCTGCAATACAGGGTGCTTGCCTGCTCCTGGGGATCAGAAGGTTGAGATTTATTTGTTGGCACTGGTTTGCCAGGGAAGCTTAGTCAAAGCGTCTCCTCCCATCTTTTGCCTGCCTTCCAGTTTTAATCCGAACTCCCTCCAGTCCTCACTCTGCTGATGGGGTTGCAAGCACATTGTGTTATTCAGAAAGGCAGTGAAGACTGGGATGGCTGAGCCCATTGTACTATCCAGGGCCTCCAAATTTTCTCTCTGCTCTCCAACTTGAAAGGAGCTGCTGGAGACGTAGCTTGTCCATTGTGTTATGGATGCTACTCCTCAAAATTAGTCTTAAGTTACTGTAGATACCATTTGAAACTGTGATATTTGAATAATAGCTTCTAAAATATTCACCTACTCCTCCTCTTTTTGTCTTTATTAAAAGCTATGGAATCTTTCTAATGTGACAGGAAACATGCTCCATTGTTTCTCCTCTATATTTGACTGAAACGAAGCTGCTTCCCTGTACAAAGGTACCCACCTCTGAATAGTTCGTTATTCAGAGCCCTGTTAAATTTGGAGTCTAACTTATTTTAACTATTGCATTCTCAGACAGCCACCTTGTAAAGTTCTTCCACACCATTAAAGCTTGATGGGTCTTTACCCCATTTACAAACAGAGATTCAGAAGAGCACATGGATTCCAATGAAATACAAAGCGCAATCAGTTGAATTAATTAGGTGTTTAATATCTCCATCCTCTCTCCTGTGTTTAGTGGTTGGATGCTTTGAGATCCTTTCTGCTCACCAGAATGCACTCTCTTTCTCCATCACATTTAGCCAGGGGTGATGGGATAACAAATGTGGTGAGAAAGACTGAATTGCCCAGACCCAGAGTTCAGACCCGTGTGCTCTCAGCAAAGCCTGCTGAGCCTGGCCATAGTGCTGGGGTGCAAGGCCCATGCACCAGCATCCCCACCAGGGAGGGATGTCTCCCCATGCATCATTGTGGCAGCACTCTGCAAATGCTCTTGGACCTCTCCATCCCATCTACAGCATTAAGGGGTTGGCTGCCTAATGCTCTTCCCACAGGCATGCTGGTCAGGGAGGTAATGGAGGGTACAAGCCAAGCTGCTCTGTGGGTACAGGTCACTTGGAGCAGTGAGTTTTTTGCTGAGAACAAACTGGTGCTTGTCAGGAGGTGAAAGCTTGCTGTTGGTCTTACCAGCCTGGTTGAGATGAAGGGAGCAGAGGCAGACCTCTGCAGTGCCTGGGGAGCCTTCACAGCCTCAGGTGTTTCAGCCTCTGTGCTGCAAAGCAAATAGCTGCCAGTATTGATTTACATAGCAAATGCACAACTTTAAGCCACCTGCAAGCTTCTTTGCAAATCTGCCTGGCTGCAAAACCCATCAGAAGAACCAAACTCCTTTTATGGTGCAGGAACAGTAAAGTTACTGAGATTGAGCCATTTTTCCTTGTCACACAGCCACACGTGCAGGAAGACTCCACAGGAACCCCACTGAGCTTAAACTACCTGGAGACCACAGGGCTGAGGGTAGAGCAGCAGTCACGCTCAGCAGGACACCTGAGGCCTCCTCCAGCCAGAATGATCCATCACTCCCAGCCTCACAGATACACACAGCTTTGCACTCACCAAAGCTGACTTAATAAATCCATGGACCATTTGGAGTGACATGTTGGCATGCTTGCTGGGCCTGAGCCCTGTTCCCTGAAGTCAGTGAGTGTATTGCTGTGGGCAAGCCAGGGCTTGCCAGGGTTAGCTCATAGTTCTCCTGCTGCCCTTGAGGACTTGGAGGCCAGCTCAGGCCGTGGTAGAAGCATGCTGTGGACCAGCACTTGGAAATTATTCAGCGGTTACTGCTACCTTCCATGCATGAGTGTTTTCTCCCTCACGGTTATAAGTACATTCAATCAAAAGGAACATGTTTTACTCTTCTCTGTAAACAATGCAAATGCAATGCAAACATTTCACTGTCTGCTGCTTGGTGTTTCTGCATAATCTGGCAATCCTGCAGAGGGCAGATAAAGCGGTAGAGAAAGAAAGTTCTTACCTCCTGTCTCTCTTCTGGCTAAGACAATACATCTAATGGCAGCACACGCAATCTGTCTGCCCCAGATATGCAAGCATTTCATGTCTATGTCGGGCTAATATCACCTCTGCTGGGGTCCTGGGGAGCTCGTGGTCCCCAGGTCCTGGTGGGAAGCTATCACTGCTCCATCAAACACTGATTTTAGCAAAACAGCAAATTCAGACAAGAATGTTTCTTGAACAATTTCTCCTTTCCTGCTGCCCTGCTCTATCCTCAGGTCCCAGGGGCCACACTGCACAGCAGGATGGTGCTTTGGCACATGGCTTTGCTCGTGGGCAAGTGCCCATGTGTGTGTGTGTGTGTGTGTGTGTGTGCGCGCACATCCCCCCCAACACATCCAGTTCAGCTGAGTAACTCACCTCAGCACATCTTAGGAAGTGCAGACTTGCAGCAGAGAGGAGCCCTGACAGAAATAGGCTGAGGACTTCTGCAGGCAGGCTGGCCTTTGGGTAAGACTGACATAGAATCATAGAGTATCTGGAGTTGGAAGGGACCCACAGGAATCATCAAGTCCAACTCCCTTCTCCTCATAGGAGTATAACTGTACATAATTGTGCATAACTGTACACAACTGTACATAACTTCATGTAACTGTAAAAGATTACAGTTTGCTTTTAAATAATCTTAAAGATTTAACTATGACAGAATGTGGTGACTGCCATTTATTTCAGTGGTGGTTCCTGTATTAGTTTTCTCCTGTCTAGAAACCAGGAAAAGGAATTTATTTAAGTAGACATTAGAAATCTGAGATGCTCTGTCTTTAACTGGAGTATGATCTAATCCAATGGCCTCTGCCACCTGTCCTCCATCGAGCCCCTGCTGCCTGCATTAGCTGTTGTAGCCTCTGCTGGCAGTTTGGCAAAGAATACTCCAGAACACTTGTATTTCATATGGGTGTCCTTTTTGGATTCTCTCCATGAGCCATTTGATGAAAAGGAGAGAGCAGTTAGAGAAGGAAAGGAGCAGGTTTGAAACCAATGAGAAAAAGCTGCTATTCATATATTTGCAGTACTGAATTACTGAATGCCATGATGACAAACCAGTGGTTTTTATTATTTATACCCTCTTAAAAAACTAAACACACAGACATCACTGTTAGATAAGCTTTAAGGGCCTTTCCAACCCAAACCATGCTATGATTCTATTCAGCATCAAGTCATATTAAGTACATGTTCATTAACTATAGTTTGACAGGATTCAGGGGTGCCATGAGTGCTTTGAAACACAAAGCAATGATGTGCCGTTCAGCGCAGCAATCAAGTGGGGAGCCCAATCGTGCCATCTGCTATGGTAGAAGGTAACAGAAGAAGGAAATAACTCACCTCTGGAAAGCTACTCCCATACATAGCAAAGGAGGAGTGAAGGGCAGGGCATTTCCATGCCCAGGTTTGTGCTCCTCAGAGGCAGTGGTGCACAGGACCACTTGCTGCTGCCCACTGTGGTGTTTGATCAGTTGGGGCCCATTGGGGCCAGCAGGATTTCGATGGAGCTGTGTCTGTTTGCTCTGGAGCGCGCCTCCCTCCCTGTGCCGTGCTGCAGTGCGAGGTGCCTTCAGCTGTGGTTCAGCTGCTGAGGAGGCACCAGTGCCAAAGCAGCAGGGCACAGAAGAGATGGGTTTGCTTCTCATGCAGTGCAGTCACGTCTTCATCCCTCCTGCCCTCCCCTGTTCCCATCCTCTCCCCAGTCCTGGTACCAGCCTTGCTAGGAACACACGTAGGTACAAAGGTCTGAAAAAACAGGACCATTTCTATTCTTTGGAAAAAAAAAAAAGGTTTCCTTTGTTGTAATTCCTCTGTTCAGCTCTGCACAAGGTCCTTGCATGAGGCACAGCAACACATGCCCTGTACAGGGACAGGGACAAAAGCAGATTGCTGTGGGCATGCCTGAAAGGAAACCATGACTCGTTGTCTTGTTGCTGCAAGGCAGCAGGTGATTTTGCAGGTGATTTGCAGAGAGCAGTTTGTACAGACTTTGTGTGTGTAGTAACAATAAAAGCTTTTCTTGGTGGGGAAAAAGCAGGCAGATGCAGCCTTGCCAGAAACAGTTCATACCATTTATGCAACATAAAATGATTAGTTTCTGCTTCCCAAATGTTGTTTCTCAGTGTTGCGGCTCTGATTCAGCATGGTGGAGAGGGTGATGGGAAGGGCTGGGGGCCCTAAGGCCATGTTAAATCTTTATTTCACTGCTGGCCCATGATAGGAGAGTGTGGGAGAGAGAGGACAGCAGAGGGGCTTTGCTAAGACCAGCCTGCTACACGACTTGACTTGGTGCTGGTGTTTGTTTCCTTCTTTTTAGTACTTCTTTTTGCATGTATGTGGCAAACAAGTAGGCCCATGATAAAGGTCATGATTACACTTGACACCTCTTGGACTTCTGTAGCCTGCTACTGCTATCTGCATGTCAGCCTGCTGTCCCAGTGCCTCTGTGGCCACTCTGGTGGCCTCCAGCATGGTTCTACTGGAGGGTGCTCTCACAGGCATCATGACTCTGCCCATGCAATTCACTTCTGTCACCTCCCCCATCCCCACCACATCATAACCCCCATCTCCTGTGTTCTTTCTGCCTGTCTCAGCTGAGCCAGTCTGAGTGTTATGTGGTTGCCCACAGAGTGGGACATCATTTGAGGCTCAGAAACTGTGGTCCCCAGGTAAGTGAGAAACAAAGGCCTGAGTTATTTGATGGTTCTGTCTCCTTTCTGGTCAGCCTTCAGCATCAGTTTTACCCTGGGAAGGAACAAAGCGAGACTGCAGGAGAACAACAGATCGCCCCCTTGGGGCAGGTAAGAGGCAGCAGGGAATGCTCTGGGGCTGCACCAGCACTCCCGAGGTGTCCCCAGGAACCTGCCTGGAGCATGTGCGGAGGGCGGTTAAGAAGCCAAACAACTTTCCCCCACCAATCCCCCCCGAAAAACCAACCCCAAACCCATCCCAGTGTTCAAAAGTGTCAAGCAAGTATTTCAGTTGACTTAAGCCATTAAAAAGCCCCCAGCTTTTCAGCTGGCAAACAGTGCAATGGCTCAGGAGGGCACGTTTCAGGCTCAGCCTTCCTGTGGAGTGAGGGGAATCGCCAATACAAATCCACCTCTTCAGGTAAGATCCCCCACCCACTCCAGCTCACAGCACTGGTCGCAGCTCTTACAATTGCAGGTGTCTGGTCCCACACCGGCTACTCCAGGGATGATCAGGAGCTGAAGAGCAGCTGAATTGGTGTGGATGCCTTTCACAGCCTGTCCCTGCCCATGGGATGGGTGCTTTGGGATCCTGGCAGGGAAGTGGAGCAGTGGCTGATTTGTTGGGTTTCACCTTTCTGTTCTGTTCCTAGCTTCTGGCAGTGATTTCCAAAATATTTGCTGGCCCAGTTTGAGCTCTGATGTAGGAAACAGTTCAGCTGCTGCCCTGAGCAGTAGCCACAGCCCTGCTGGTGCAGCTGAGATGAGTTTTATCTGCTGATGGTTTTTACTTGATACATTCTGTAATGCATGAGAGGGTTTGTTTTTAAAATGGGATGATGTTCATTGGGCCTCTTCAGTAGTGTTACAACTATAGTATGATGATTTGCAAACAGTGCAAGCTTTTAAGCACTCTGACTCCTGGGGCTGTTCCAGTATTACTCAAGCTGGTACAACAGCCTGGATGGTCCCAGGCCTTAATGGAGGTGTTACAGCGCCAGCAGCAGCTGCTTGGTTTGCTTTTAGAGAGAGCAAAAAGCATTCCCCTGTGCCCAGTGCAGAGGGTTGCAGTGGTGGGACAAACCCAGCAGTGTGAGCCTCAAACCTGAGGAGTGATGGGGTGTGTGTGTGTGTGTGTGTGTGTGTTAAAGCCAGGTGCCACTGTGCTTGTGTTGGGCCCTACCAGCCCTGTGGGTGTTTTCTTTTACTGCAAGGTCAGCTTTGAGTAATTTCACAGGTGCTGCTTGCTAAAAGCTGAACTGTTCTTGTCAGGAGCAGCTTAAAAGCCAAATTCAGTGGCCTTGGCCAGGCTGTTCTGAATGAGTGGCACAGGGCTTTAAATAAAGTGGTTCACTGCAAACACTTGGTTGATTCATCTTTGTCTGCTTGCTTTTTGGCCAGGTAAGTAAAACCCACTCTTGGGGCAGGAGTGAAGGGTGAGGGGTGTTTATTGACACTTCTCTCTTGTATTGCTCATGAGTTTATTTATTCTGCAGCCTTGCTGAAGTTTGTGATTCTCTGACTCTACAGTGACCCTGGTTTTATGTCAAACCCCTGCCTTGGCAGCAGGCACCCTTTCCTCTGCGCTGTATTAAGCTTGCCTGTCATGGGGTGTTGTGTTTCCATTTTGCTAATGACCAGTGAGTGCTTTCCCTACCCATTCCCCTATGTAACCCCCTAAATAAGAACACAGTTTATAACAGGCACAGTTGTAAAAGCATGAATGGTTACTAATGTAAACCTGCCCGCCACCAACAGCGAGGACCAGGTAGTAGTGAACTGTGTGTATCTATCTTTGCCATGACTTTCCCACACTGTGGGGTACCAAATGCTGAGGTAATTCCTCAAGCACATAGGTGCAGCCAACAGAGATGGGAGTACTTTAAAATGCACCTCAAAGAGCCAAGTGACCTTTATGGGTTCTGGCTAAATGTAACCAGCTTTGGAGAGTGCCGGGAACACCACTGGCAGGGAAGTTCTGTGACTGGGGTGTGTGCCCGGCCCTG